TTGGAGGCTCTAAACCGCGAGCCCGTCGTGCCAACCGAAGAAAGTACTCATCCGAAAGAGCTCTGAATAGACTCACACGAAGTTTGCTAGGCTCCGTGGGTCCTTCTGCTCACTCATCCACACGAAGTTTGCTAGGCTTCGTGGGTCCGGTTCTTTTGCGCGCAGGGAGGGATACATCTAGGAATCTATTGGCGACAGGGAAAGGCCAGAGGCTGATCAGACCTCCGTTGCCTGCTTGAAATGCGCTGGGTCCGTAAGGATCCGCAGCGCTTAGAGATCTTCACACAGCGTGAAGTTTCCTCCTCCTGGTGTTCGTGGAGTCCTCCAAGTTGGGCGGAAACCACTCAAGCCTTTTATACGGCTAGCAAGCCAATCACCAGCCGACAAATGGCGGGAACTCTTTGCAATGAGCATTTCTGTGCTGCAACAAAGAAATGCACCCTGCAAAGAAAGCTTCAAATTGGCAGGAAATTCTCCCTTGCACCGGGGTTCTCTTTTGCAGCAGAAAACTCCACCGTGCAAAGAAGCTGTAATTTAGCGGGAACAATTTAGCAGTGCCGAAGCACACAAAAACAAAAATCACACCCTTTGGGTTGTGACAAGAGCATGGAGCAGTCTCTGTACTCCTCCTACATGCTCATGGTACAACTCTCAGGAGGAGCTGCCTCTGTCTGCATGCTCTCCTCCTCCTCAATCCCAGTCCCAAAAGTCAGAATACCCAGAGTGTCACCCACATCCTTGGAGAGAATGATGGACAGCTGGTCATAGAAAGGAGCAATTGTGTGCCCTGCCCCAGAGCGAGAGTTAACATCTTTGGCATGGTAAAACGCAGATCTCAGGTGTTTACACCACACCTGGGTCCAGTCACGATTGTGCCCTCAAGCCTGTATTACTTTTGCAATGGTGACATAAACAGGCTTATTCCTTCTATTTTCCAGCTGTCTATGATACTTTGTTCAAACCAAAATTTGATTTAGTCCTGCAGTTCTTCCTGGGTCCAATCGGGTCCATGCATGTTGGAGGTATCAGCCTCCCGCTCCGTATCTACCATACTGCTGGCCTTCACTTTCTGAGACATGGGGAAGCAGCTTGTGGTCAACAGCAAGTGATTCAAAAACGGTTCCTGGTGAAATTTGGGGGTCTGCTTTATAGAAATGCTACCAAAATTCAAATGATTATGAAGCCACCACCTGTGCTGAAAAGTGAAGAAGCACACCTTTACTAACAAAAGACTTGCTGATGGGCTTGAGTATGGCATACAGAAGGCCATTGTCCTTTGGGATGGCTGCTTAATGCCCAGAATTGTTACCAAAATCAATTCACACCTCCCCTGCCTGCTTGTGTTTTGACCTGTTGTCCCCTAGTTAGTCCCACAATGAAGGCCTTTTTGCTATTGCTGAATAAAATAATTTTATTGTGGAAGCACAGTCTGTTTTTGCAGACCTCAGAAAAGTATTCACCTGGCTGGCCCAACATTAACAGGAAAGGACTATTGCAAAATCTTCTGTTCACAACCTTTTGATTACAACTTGTCAAACAAAAACTTGTCAAAAAAAATCTCCACCCTAGAGTTCTAAAGGAACTGGCCGGGGTCATTGCGAGTCCCCTGGCGCAGCTTTATGAACACTCGTGGTGCTTTGGAGAGGTGCCAGAGGACTGGAAGAGGGCCAACATGGTTCCCATCTTCAAAAAGGGGAGGAAGGAGGACCCCGGAAACTATAGGCCAGTCAGTCTTACCTCGATCCTGGGCAAGCTGTTCGAGAAAATTATTCTGGCACACATCCAGGAGGGGCCAGCAGGGAAATGCATGCTCAGGGGGAACCAGCACGGGTTCATCAGTGGCAGGTCATGTCAGACCAACCTGGTGGCCTTCTACGATCAGGTCACTAAATCATTGGATGCAGGGGTAGCAGTGGATATAGTCTTCCTGGACTTCCGGAAGGCTTTCGACACTGTCTCTCACCCCGTTCTCATTAGGAAACTGGGGACTGTGGTGCAGACACCCACACAGTGTAATGGGTCGCCAACTGGCTAGAGAGCCGCACCCAGAGGGTGGTAGTGGATGGGTCCTTCTCAGCCTGGAAGGACGTGGGCAGTGGGGT